ACACAGACAGACACACACACACAGATATACAGAGTAGGGTGGCGGTGTGTGAGAAGTCGCATGTGCTGCGGCAGGTACAGAACCAGGCGATTAGTACGGAGAAGTTCGCTCAGGAGCCTTAAGATTCTGCATCTAAGCTATGTCGGAATTGATCACCTTGATGTTGAGGTTCAGAGCCTAAGGCTCCCTACGGCTTCAACCCTAAAACCATCCTTAAACCCCTTAAGACCTAAGCCCTAAGTACCAAAACCCTGAGCCCTAAAACCGCCATGTTCCAGAACCTTAACTACAACCTAGACGAATCCTGAAGGGGAGCAGGTCTTCCCGAAGTGGAAGCCACCCAAACGGCGAAACATACACCCTGAAGCTTAAGCCGAGCCAGAAATCCCAAGACACCCTAAACCACCGAATCCTTTGGCCAGACTTTCAAGTGTTTGTTGATTGATGTTTACGGTCTGAATTGATTGAGGTTACCGGGTTCAGCAATTAGGTCTCAAGGTGGCAGTCAATGTCTCAGTTTTCACGTTTAATCCAAAACTGCTCATGCATCATGTATTGGCTTGTTGTGTCTGTGTGTGGGGAATTTGGGTCATGGCATCTTTAACTCACCAGCAGCCGGCTAACTTGTGAGTCAGGCATCTTTCTTGGTGAAGGTAGGCTCAGACAATACTTCTGGCATGGGTAGGATATGCTGGCAGTTCATAGTTGAAACATAACAGGACATGCTGTGATGGATACCGAATTGTGTTGATTCTTGGATGTTGAACCCAGGTATGTCTCAGTCAGCATCATGAGGCGAGGAATGTTTGGGGTGTTGAACCCAACGCTTGGTTTACTAAAGTCGCGTATGTGTTGTATTGTGTTTGGGAAGAAGCACAACCACAAGATCGAGAGCCAACACTATACTAAAAGGCCGATGGACCTCAGTGTCAAAGGACTAGGGCACAGCTATGCGGCAACATGGCACCCCCCAATTAAACCCTATACCCCCATACTCCTACACCCCTAGGCCCTAAGCCCCTAAACCCTAAGCCCAAAAAACTTCATGTTAATTCCCCGGCCGGTGGCAGACAGTAAGCTCGGAAGCCCGGAGCCCGATCGCACAAAGCCCCGCAGCTCCGGCACAGAGCCTAAAGCCCTATATAAACCCTGTAACCTTACACTGTATGAAGCGATCATGCCCGAACTGTATTCTCGCAAAGCTGCATACCCCTTTCAGCCCGGCACCCCCTACAGCCATAAAGCCCCGCATGCAGTTGATGCCTAAGGAAAGTTATAGGGCTTAGGGTTTAGTGTTCAGGGTTTAGGGTTTAGGGGGAGGACTAGGAGACGTGGAAACCGGCTGGCAAGCGGGAACGCATGCACGAGAACCCCCAACTAGGTCACATGAAGTTCCTGGTATAAGATTCCTGCCACGCCACTTGATCCCAAACACCTGTAGCAACATACCGGAACTTTAATCAACAACTTACAGTCAACAATCACCTTGCCATATTGCCTCCCCGAACTACTACATCTCGAACACGAAAACCCCCCTGCAGCCCAAACGACTCACTGTTCCGCCCTTTATCCAAAACCCAGCCAGCCGGTCCAATGGCTCAAGGAAGCTCTTGTGGTTACTTCTAGGTCTACCTATAGTCTCCATTGTAGTTCCTTTTTGGGGTTACCTTTTAGGATCCTTAATATAATATAGAATTGGTTCAACCAAAAGAAGGAACTACAATGAAGACTATAGGTAAGCACTATCAACTCTAATCCTAAAGCCCAAACCCCAGAGAGGCTGACGAATGCCCGACCGAACTCCAAAAGCCCTGGGCCCTAAACCCTAAACCTCAAATCCTGGGCCTCGCAATCGCCAGACTGTTTTTTGAGTTGCAATGGCAAAAGGCCAAGCAGTGCTGAGGCTTCGCAGGGGATGCTTTTTTTGCGAGGGTTTTGGGGGAGGACTAGGGTAAAGGAGCCTAAAACCCTATTCTCAATATAAAGGCCCCTGCAGTAGGGCTTCATGGATTTGGGGTTTAGGGTTTAGGGCTTTGCGGCCTTATGGGTTTAGACTCCAGGCGTCCGGCTTTCGGGATTTGTGGCCGGTTGGCCTGTTTCAAGTCGCAGAGTTTGATCACTTGAGTCGAACCTTGGGTATAGGGTTTACCTACGGTCTCCATTGTACTTCCTTTTTTGGTTTAACCAATTCTATATTAAGGATCCTAAAAGACAACCCCAAAAAAGAACTACGATGGAGACTATAGGTAGGGTACTGTTGAGCTCTGCAACTAAGAAAGGTCATTTGCAGTGCGCCTGCAACGCCAGAACCAGATCCGTGTCGGATCTATACGGGTATATGAGCCTTCAGGAACCTGAAGCCTTCGGTTTGGGCTTCTCTAAGATGTCAGTTTCAAGTCCTTAGCGCAGTGACTTCGATTATCGCGAAGCGAGATGAACTCACATGGATCTGTTGGAGGTTGCATGCGATTTCGCAGCTTGAGCTTTCGCATTTCGGATTTGCTGGAGCGCCTCCTTGCCAGCATGGTCCTAAACCCGAATATTTAATCCTGAAATGGATCCTATTAAAGTAATGCCTTAAAGGAACCTTATTCTAGTTCCATTCTCTTGGACTTTCTGAGTCTTTGGAAGGTGATGGCTCGACCCTCCTACGAGGCAGTGAACCAAGCTGCAGGTTTTTTTCAAGGCTTCCTGTAAAGAAGTTCTTGAAGGCTTAAATCCGTTAAGGGTTCCTTTAAAGGGAGGATTCCTTTGAAGAGCTTCTTCAGGACTTAACTCCTTTAAGGGTTCCTTTAAAGGGATCCCGAAAAGGTATCCGAGATCCTTTAGGGGTTCCTCTAATGGTTCCGTGAAGGGCATAAGTGGTTACATGAAGGTTTCCTGAAAGCCCCAGACATCCCTAAACTCCGAGCTGACTTCAGGGGCCTTAAAGGGTTAGGAAGTGTTTTACAGTCCGGCCTAGGTGTTTTAGGGTTCAGGTTTGGGGGTTGGGGGGCTAGGGCGTACGATGTAGAGTTTATGGTTGAAGGTGTAGGACTTTGCGGTTTTGTTGCTTTGGATTGTGTCTTAGTGTTTTGCATTTAACAGGTGTTTCTGGGTTTACGGTTGGGGCCCAGCACTTCAAGGGTTTTGCAGCAGGATTGTGGTTTAGGGGTTGGCATTCGGCAGCACAGAGATTGCCAGCCCTCAACGCAAAACTTAAAACCCTAAACCCTATGAGCCCTCGACCGCCAAAGACCCTAAACCCTACAAAAGCCTGAACGCTTCTTTTGGGCTCAGAGCGTTTGTCGTGTTCACTGCGAACCTGCGACCCTCGAAGTGATACTGCGAAGATCTCCCCCCTGCAACTCGGAGGCAAGAGGAAGGGTTTAGGGATGTTACTTTATATTACAGCCTTTAAGGCCCAATAGAAACCTCATATCGCCCTATAATCCTTTCATACCTCAACCCGGACTTGCAGCTCCTTGTCCGAGTACTGTTGTACTTGATGGGACACTCGCCCACAACATAGGTTAGCTAAAGAAGGGATTACGGTGCAGGAACCATGTAAGTCGCAGCGAGATATAGTACCCCTTTGAAGACGCGACAGATGGCGCACCCTAAACCCTACGACTTATTATCGTTCATTGTATTATACTAGGTTCACAGGGTTTTACATAGGCCTGAATGACTGGAATGTCATCGCACGAGATTGTGTAGCAGTCCACAGGGACGTTTTTATCTAGGCGTCGATGTGGGTGTATAGGGTGTCACGTGGTTTCGTGGGGTTCGTCGCGAGTCTTGTTTAAGAGTCGCCAGACTTCTCTAGGGTTCAATGTAGACCGCTGATTTGCTAGCCGGCCTTAGAAGTAGGATCCGTGCTAACGTCTTTCATCTCGTAATTGACAAGGGCGTGTTAATCAGGGTATACGCCGTTAGGGCATGCACGAGGTTGGTATTTAGGGTGTGGTCAAGGTGTTCACGGAGGGTTAAGGCGTAGGGCTACATGCGCTGAAAGCTTATAACGGCTGCAAGTCTGGTTGAAGTCAAACCCTATGGGGCGCATGTTTTTGGATTTTGGGATAAGGTATACACCGAAACCCAACACCCGAAGAATCCCTCAACTGCGCTTGGGGTTTTAGGTTGTTTGTGTCTATTCTGTTTTTACTGCCGTAGCCACAAACCCCCCCCCGCCCCATAGCCTGCCTTAGGACATATGCAGGAACATCCTAAACCCTAAACCCTAACTCGGTAATAGGCTTCTCCAGGATCCAGGTAACCGCCTTTTGTCAGCACTTTTCACATTGCAACAGCAGGAGCAGCAACACCAGCAGCAGCAACTGCGACCACAACAAAGCAGCAACAACAGCAACCGCAGCCGCAACAGCGACAGCGACACCGACAGCCACACCAGACACCGACACCAACACCATGCACCGCGACCATCACCACCACCAGCAGCAGCAGCAACAACAACAACAACCACAACAACCACAACAACCACGACAACCACGACAACAGCAACAGCAGCACCATCAACAGCAACAACAGCAACAACATGAACACTGGCAACAGCAGCAGCAACAACAACAACAGCAACGGCATAGGCAACAGCAACTGCAACTGCAACTGCTACTGCAGCAGCAGTAGCAACAGCAGCAACACCAACCACAACCGTAGCAGTCAGCGGGAAGCAGCAGAATGCCTATGTATGGATCTGTGAATGTCTGTATGTGTGCATGTATTTATGTATGTATGTATGTATGTATGTATGTATGTATGTATGTATGTATGTATGTATGTATTGTATCTATGTATCTGTTTATCTATGTATGTATGTACATGTGTGGATATAATTACATGCGTCTTACCTGTTCATTTCAGAAGCCACTCCCGTCTAAGGATTGGAATCATGGCGTTGAACGGTGCCGGAAGCTCTATGGCGTTCGCCATCGCGCCGGCCACTGCCATCCGCCCGAGCGTTCCTGCGCAGGCCAGGACTGTTTTGTGGAAGTCTGTTTGAGACTTCTGGAGTCAGGGCATGTTTTGACTTGCCTAGTATTGCCAGACTTTGAAAAGGAGCATGGCACTGGAGCTGGCCATGACCTCGAGGGTCAGGCTTGCACATCCAGGGTGTTTAAACCCCTCCCCCCTCAAAAGAAACAACGCAAACGACGAACAATATCGGCTCGAGGCTTCTTAGTCTCCCCTGCGCAAAACAAGAAACGTAGGTTCTGGTAAGTATGTAGGGTTTGGGATTCAAGGGGTATCCGGAACCTCCCAGAAGCCAGCATGTGCCGCAGGCGGAGACCAAGACAGCACCGGGCAAGGCGGATGCAACATCAACCGGGCTTTCTTAACCTCCCAGTACCCATTTGTTGTTGGGTCCTTCTATGTAGCCTAGTATGCCCTTGACAGACCTTGAAAAAGGAGGTTCTGATAGCTTAGGGCTGTGTTACCGTTTGGGTGTAAGTTGCCTGAAACTCTTCCCAAAAACATTCAACTGAGTGAGGGGCTGTCCCGCCGCTTGAAGAGGTCTTCTGACATCAAGGGTATGCAAGGGCTGCCGCAAGGGTGTATGGTACTATAAATGTACTGTAAGTTTACTACACTCAAGGGTTGCTATGAGCCTTACAGGGTAGAAGCAGAAGACGCAAGAAGCACTCTTGTGAGAAGCACGCTTGTGGTCCAAGGCGTGCGGCCCAAGATTCAGAAGCCCCAAACACTGATTTAAAAGCCCAGATAAGTCCTGAGACTGTTCCTTCGAGTTCCAAGAACTTCACTCCACAACCAAGTTTTCCAAGCATTAAGGCCCTCATAGTAAGCTCTCCTGGACCGGAAACAGCAAGCCTCAACATCTATGCCCTTGCCGACCCTACACCCTGAACCTTGCGATCAAACATCTGCACCGAGCAACATTGCCATTGCGATCATCATCACCGTCATCGCCATCAACAAAATCATCGTCAACATCAACAACAGCATCATCATCAGTGTCATCATGTTCATCTTCTTAATCAGCATGATCTTCTTCTCCGCCGTCATCGCCACCATCAGCGTCATCATGACCATCAGCAGCAGCATCAGCAGATTCGTCATATTCATCGTCGTCCTTTTGGTCATCACCCACCTGACAACGAACGAGCGTTTGCATCCCTTGGGTTGGGGGTGTTGGGGGTTCAGGATCCCCAGCTGTCCTAGGTGGGTAGTTCTCTAAATTAGGGTCCCTTCTTAGGCCCCCAACATAGTACTGTACCCTTATGAAAGGGACCCTTAAAGGGACCCTAATTTAGAGAACTTCCCAGGTCACAGCCTGAATTCTCACTGCTTGGCTCTTCGGGGTGAGTGAAGGAATGGCCCTTTGCAGGAAGTTCTATCCCACTTTCTACGGAAAAGTGCTGCGTATTTTCCATTCTACATACACACACACATAAAGCTATATCCATATATATATATACATATATATATATGTGCATAGGTATACATGTATGCTTATGTGTATACGACACACAAGTGAATAAGCAAATATGCAAACAAAACATACATTCATATAAAATATAAATAAACATAAATAAATAAATATATATATATATGTGTGTGTGGGTGTGTACACATACATACATTCAGACAGACAGACAGACAGATAGACATACATGCCTGCCTGCCTGCCTGCCTGCCTGCCTACCTACCTACCTACCATACATCCATCCATACATACATACATACACTACACTACATGTGTACAGATAAGCGCATACATATGTTTATGTCTACAAACGTGTGGGTGTATCTGCATATTTATGTACAGCACAGACTTATGTACAGATTTGGATTCGTCAAATCAAACCCAGCAAGATTTGGCAGCCGTTATGGGCTTTGTTGCAATTGTTTAGGGTTCATGGTTTTAAGGGGTGTACGTTTTGGGGTATGAGTAGAATCGTGACCTTAGGCGAAGAGGATTAACGCTTAGAGACCTTTGCCGTTAGTTTGACCATCTGAAGTTCACCCGCCTAGACATTCCCAAAGGCTCCTTCGCCAATTGTGCCTAACTGTTTCAGATTTTGGGATCTGGGCTTGGGTATGTGGTTTGTTTCAGGTTTTTCGGGATTCCTCAACTCTAAACCCAGTTCGAAGTTATCAAGATCCGGCTCCCGCTATCTCGGCAGATCTCGCAAAGCTCCCTTCCTGTTGCTTGCGCTGGCCTCATGGTCCCCGTGCTGGCGCGCCTGTTTCTTGTTCAGGGTTCAGGGTTTATGCTGCGATGCGCGAGCCTGGGATTCTGCAGATTCTCATGACAGTCTAGGTTAGAAGCTTGGCCTTATGGCACTATCAGAAGCTGGAACTCGGGATTCAGGATTCCTTTCTTGATTCTGTTCTGACAGATTTATCGGGTAGGAGTTCAGAGCTTCGCCGCTGAGAAGGGAAGAGGAAAATCCGTCCACAGTCGTCCGCAGTAGTGCATGCCCAAGCAATCCAGTCTGGTGCCGCGCGCTCTTGGGCTGCAAGGGCCCAAACTTCAAATTAAATCCAACTGTGGTGAGCTGCTGCTGTGCTTGTTCTGTCGCTGTTCTCACTCTTTGCGGCTCTACTTATGCTTATGGGATCTTCTTGGCATTTGCCTGGCCCTGGCCATTACCGGTGACGTAGCTTGCTTGCATAGCGAATAATTGAATAATGCTGCTTATTTCCACTGATGCATGACGACTCGACGATGCCAGCGGCACTATTTTGACTACCGTCGCCCTGCCCTGCTGCTGGTGCTGCTGCTCCTACTGCTCCCGGAGCCCTGGACCCTCATTGTCCCGACATTCCCTTGTCTCACAGCCCAGATGTCTAAACCCTAAACCAATAAAGCTTGTGTGATCTCTCACCATCCCTCACCCAACAGAGCCCTCCTCTCTTCGAGTCCATGATGTGCAGGGCTCTGTTCGAAGGGGAAAGAAGCCCCTAGGCAGTGCAATTGACTGGTAGCTGAGTGATTGGCGAACCTTCAAGTTTTCTGGGTGTTGTTCTACCTTAAACCCTAAACGCTAAGACATATTCCCAGCAAGGATCGAAAAGCTAACTTTTTGGGGGCCAGCCCAAACCCTAAACCCTAAACCCCCCAAATCCTGCTATAATATATAACCGAAAGGTACAGCTGGGGTCAGGGTTCAAGGCCTCAGAGTTCAAGCTTGGGAGCTCTGGGGATCGGATGTCCATCCTTCAGTGGTTTCTCCTCTTGTCAGGCTTTAGGGTTTATAGCGTCAGGCCTTCATGCCCAAAAAATTCGAGGGACCTCAAAGCTTGGTTTAGGGTTCAGGGCTTCGGAGTTCAAGACTTCAAGGGTTCTCTTGCCGTGAAGTGCGTGGCTGATGCGTTTATGCAGGGCGTGGAGTCGGAATAACACCAAAACATGAAAGTCACTTGCATACGGGAGGGTTTGCAAAGCCGTAATGATTATGTTCATGAGTTGAATTGAATGCTACACTACATCCGCAAATGAGTAGTGTGTCTATATATATGTACACGTACACACACACACAGGTTCACAGTACCTGCAACAGAAGCAAACCAGCATAAACAGACAGACTTAATCCAACCTAAACCTAAACACCCCACGCCCCAAACCGTCACAAAGCACTCCCTGAACCCTTGCGAAGCTCTATAGGCAGTGTAACACCTCATAGAACACTCTAAGATCCTTTGGTATAAAGAAGCCTTGTAAGCCGTGTAGAACCGTGAGAAGCTCAATATCTCCTCCGTATGAGGGATGGGGGATGTCCCGGCAGTTGAATTCTTGGATTTGTTGTTGCTGTCTGCTGTGTACGAGCCGAACTCGTTGTGTAGACATCTTGTACAGCCCTGAATTTTGAGTTGCTATGTTCCCTTTGTATACTTTCCTATACTATCACATATCATTATCTCCTATGTTAGGGTTCGGCGATGGTGCAGCCGGTTCGGGGCTTTGGGGGCTTCGTTTGGGCTTGGAATCCCGGATACCCTATAACCATTGTGGCCAGATGCAATTGATATAAGCTCAGGTCCAAGATGGCCATGAAGGATGCGACCTATGCCTTCCAGAAGGATGCCTATGCCGACTTGGAGTTCACCAACGACGTCGGCTACCTACCGGATGGCACCCCGCTTAACAAAGCGGGCAACGCCCTGAACCACCCGGAGACGATCGGTGCGGACAAGCACGTTGCTGGATCCCCGCTTCCCCGTGCCAAGTTCGTGAACTCGGTCGGGTACCTCCCGGATGGCACTCCTATGAATGCAGCTGGCAATGCTATCAACCACCCGGAGACGATGCAGCCGGACGCTCACATGGCCGGCTCGCCCGTGCCACCTTCATCGTATGCTGCGGATGTGGGCTACTTGGTTGATGGAACTCCCTTGGAAACC